GTTTTTAAAAATTCTGTCAGTAAAATAAAAAGCTAGATATGCAGGGAAACTTAGTCATCGGGAAACTTTGAATTAAAACCCCATGTGTAAATTCTCCAAATTCTGTTATCAATAAAGGCTCATAATTACAATATTAAGGAACACATATCAGGACTCTCCTGACCCACTTGCCCAAAACTGGAAGGCCAAAAATAATTAAGAATTCTGATACCAGCATACTCCAATAGTCCAGTGCTTAGTTGAAAACTAAATTCAGAATTCTTGTTGTTACCCCACATTCCTTTCTATACAGAAATTACAACACTCAACAGTTTGGTTTCTTTTATTTTTACGCTTCTGTACTTAATTTTTAGTAAAATAAAAAATGATTCCTTTTTGCTCTTTTCTAAATAAAGTGTATTACTTATCTTATTCTGTGATAGAAATATGGGTTTTTTTCCTCTTATTAAAAATAAAAACACTCGGGCCGGCCCGGTGGCGCACTGGATAAGTGCGCTGCTTGGGAAGCGCGGCGGCGCTCCCGCCCGAGGGTTCGGATCCCAAATACAGACCGGTTCCCGCTCACTGGCTGAGCGAGGCGCGGGAGCGACACTGAGGGTTGCAATCCCGTTGCCGGTCTCCGGTCCGGTACGGGGGCAACACTGAGGGTTGCGATCCGTTGCCGGACACGGAAAAAGACAAAAGACAAAAAAATAAAAAAATAAATAAAATAAAAAATAAAAAATAAAATAAATAAATAAAATAAAAACACTACTTCTTGGGCCTACAGCCAAAATCACTCTACCCTTTTCTTTTGGGAACTCAGCCTGCTTTCTTTTTTCAAAATGCTTTCACCACCATTTTGTCATTTAGAAGTTGTCTTCTCCCCAACTAGTTTTACAGTATCCCAGCTCTTCCGATTTTTGCTGATTCCAAAATTAAGCACAGGACCATTTCATTGTTGCTAGTTATAATTATGAATTAAAAGAGGATAATGCAAATAATAGGCATGAAGAAGTCTAAATTAATAAATCTTGATTCCCAGTTTAGTTTCTGAATTTTCTAAGAGAATAAAAAATAAATAAAAATGATATGGTAGCTTTCCTACAAACTCCCTCCTCCCAGGTAGGTCAGCAGCTCTAAACCTAGATGTAATCTCAAGATGTACCAGACAATGTGTATTATTTCCTCCTCAGGAACTCCAGTTGGGGAGGCATCCAAATCACTGGATCTTTGTCCCAAAAAAGTTCCCCTTGGGGCTCTCTTCCTCACACCTTAAAATAAAGCAGGTTTTCTGTTTTTTTTTTTTTTTTTTAACTATTATTATTTAGCCTTATTTACATAAGAGAGTTGAAGCAGTTTATAAGAACAAAAAAACATAAATAGATAAAAATTAGAATCTGGAAAATTATAGATAGAAAATCAAGAATAAGAAGTTAGAATATGGACAGGCAGGTTGAGTCCTACATAATTATTAAAATTGAGCCCAATTTAATCTGAGATTTCTCATAACTAAAGCGAAAATTGAGGACAATCAATTCAATAATCTATACTGGCCATAAGGAAAAAGGCAAATTGGTTTCTCAGGTGAAGTAAACTTTTCCTGAAATAGATTTGAATAAAATTTCCCATTTGGACAGAGTGACATAATATGCTTCTTCAACATCTTCTCAAACTAAAAAGGGACTTCATTCAGCTATTACTTGATTTAAAAAAAAAATAGTATTGTAAAATAAATTATCTCACATTACATGGTTTAAATTTTTAAATTTTTGAAAATTCAAGTTGGAGTGATAAAAGGGTAGCTGGCTAAAACTACTGGTGACACATTATCAGCTGCAAACATCATGATGAAGTCCTAACGTTTTCAACGTGGAATTTTAGTAGATACGGAGGTCTAGGTGAATTTTCTAGGAGAAAAAAAGGGAGTGGCAAGCACTCTCTCTTCTCTGCTACTTCTGCATCATATACGTATTTTTATTGTTGCAGTAATAGCACTGTAATTGTCTACCTATCTCTCCACTAAGATGTGAGTTCTATATCTGTCCTGTTGGTAACCAATCCCTAGTACAGTGCCTGGCACACAAAATATACTGAATAAAATGTTCACTGAAATAATACTGATGTTAAGAAAAAAAGAAAAAAAAACTATCAGTTAAATTCTTAAAGCATTAGAACAGTAAAATAGCTACTGCAGTCTGTAACTGCCACTGATGAGGGGGAAAAGATTCAGAACGTGAAACATTTCCCAGAGCACTGAAACCTTCCAGAGCTCTACTTGATTTTTTCCACTAAAGTATCTGGTCTTATGGCATTTCATGTGCTCCAGAATTGGCCCATTTCATACACTGGCTAAATACATTTAAACATAACATTTAAATGATCTGGGATAGTGTGGATATCTGTTCAGAAAAGTATATAATTCAAGGTAAAACTTCTCTATGACAGCTTTTTAGTTTTGATGAAAATCATTCTAAAGTATTACACATATTGCTTCCCTAGTAAACAGTTTACTAAACACAAGGTAAACTTTAATGACTGAGTCATTGTGAAAATGATTTAGTACAGCATGTTTTTTAAATGTCCTCAAAGACTGACATGCTATAAATACTATTTGTTCTCTTCCTAGTGATGCTCCTCTATTATCTAAATTGCATCCCAGAGCCCTTTTTCTAATTTCTGCCACTGTATTTGCTGTCTTTTTTCCTTTCCTCTTCCTTTACTTTCTTCCATTTCTATTTTTCCTTGCCTTTGATTAGTGGGGCTTTTCTTCATCACCCTCAATAGCCAGTGAGGGCATTCTTTTCCTTCTGCTTTCAGAAAATGATCAGTCACATCCTGTATTCTATAACCTTGTCCTTTGATTACATTCAACTATTTTTGTTACTGATGACTTTTCTGCACTTCAATTTTTCTACATTCGCTGCTTCAGACAACTGAATGAGAGGGGTGAGTACTAAGAAGTCAATGCATTATTTTACTGTTTTCTTCTCCTTACACACACACTCTTCCGTTTTCACTTGATTTTCAAAATAGTGCTGAAAGTTCTATCAATAGCTTACTAAATAGCCCCTCCTTACACACACACTCACTTTTCTGTTTTCACTTTTTTAAAGTACAGTGGAGAAATTTCTATCAATGGCTTGCTAAATAGCCTAGTTTCTACACCAGGTCCATAAAGGACTCTGGAAAAGAGAGAAGGTGCAGATCAAGAAAGTAAAATAAGGGCCTCAGTGGAAACTAAAACTTCTAGAGTATTTCCCACTAACGCACATAATATGTAGAAACTACATTTTTAGGCAACAAAGATTTTTATCTAAAAGAAAGTTAACAAATATGCTATCAACTTAGAAAAGCTGAGGTTTTTCTTCCTTTTTGAATGTTTTCACTTCGTTTATTATCGCTATAATTTTAAGAAAACATTTAATAAAAATAAGTTATTAAGTCAACTGTTTCTATTGTGCAATACAAAAGGTTTTAAGAATATGTATTCTTGTGTCCCTCAATATATCTTCACTCTTACTTATATCAAAGTAAGATAATAAACTCTGAAAAACATCCAAATCCTTTTTGTATGGAAGTTAGTTAAAAGAACCCACTGCTAAAATCACGTTGTAAATTCATGAAACAGAGCTAAAAAACATAGTCTAAGCCCAGGCTCTGAATCACTTTGCATATTTTAACATTAGATGTAAGGACTTATGGAATTTGGGTCTGTTTTCCTGGTGTGGAAGTATATTTGAGGTAGGGTAAAATGAAGGCAGGTGAAGATAACAGTGATTAAGGACTGAAAAATTTCTAACTAGTCAACTTAGTTCACTTCTCCAGTCTCATAGTGCATACCACCAGGTTCTTTAATTATGGTCTTTTGGGGACTTGAGCAAACATCTGATGTTACACTGCAGTGTAACCTGTAGAACATTCCTTCAGGTCATCCAAAAGGGCATGGAAATAAACTTTTGTTACAAAAAAACATTTCTGTAATTTTGTAATGGGATTTTACCTATAAAGATAGTAAAGGCTCACATTTACTGAGCAATCAGTATGATCAGGTAATTGTTAAGAATTTTATATGGATTGGCATTTAATACTCCCAATAACCCTATGGATTAGATATGATCCTCATTATCCCTGTTTTATAGATATGAAATGAGCTTGTGTAATTTAATCAAGCTCACTTAAGTTCTACAACAGGGATTCAAACACCAGAGGCCACTTAGCTCTTAATCTCCATGCTATACTTTCTCCCCACCTATACAGAAAGATGAGTATGCCCCTTTCAGGTAAAATCCCAACTTCAGTTAGATTTTTCTCTATTGCAGTCCATTTAAAATACATCCTGAAAGTATTTAATCATCATAAGATGCAATGCCTTTAAAGCATAGTTTTGACTTAAAAATTAGAATATTTTCCTTATTACAATTATTTTTAATTTTTACTATCCCCAAAAATGTATAAAACATTTGAAACATGTGAAAAACAGAATAACACAAAAAAGTTTCATGTTATAAAAGAACATAACTTAACCAGTCAGTTGGTATTCCACTGAAAGTATCTTATAATAAACATAAATTTTAATTTTTCATTTAACAACACTAAAGAATGAGGTATATAAATGTTTTAATCACAGACTTTTACTGTATGCAATTAACTGTATTTCACAACTAGCATCTTACAAAAAAGACAGTACCATTGTGCCTCTAAAAAGTACTGCAATTAAACAGAAAAGTACATTACTACGGGAAACCACCAAATATCACAACTGTCAGGACCTACAGTTTAATTTTTTCTTCGAATGTTATGGTGTCTTTTATGTGATATTTTGTATGCAAGTTATGTTTTTAAGTTCATTTACATTTCATAAATCTCCTACAGGTGGATATATATATTAAGCAAATGGTTAAGAGAAAGCAGGAGACCGGAGGAGAATTTAAGAAGTACTGTGTGGTTTCTAGGTTGGATTTTTAAATACAACATAAAACACTCTATCATATCACAGTTGTAAACAAAAATGCAAAATCTGTAGTCATAAAAATATTTTATTGGTTATTTTACATAATAGTGAATGGAGCTGTAAGTACTTTTTCTATTTCGGGATATTGATAAATGCATAAGCTGGCAGTTGCGTCTGAAAATAGAGTACTATGACTTTCATAAGAATTGTTATATTTAATAAGAGGCCAATTAAGCCAATTTAAGATTAGTTATTTCCCAGTTCTGTGCAACAGTTCCCATTTCTGTATTAATTAGATTCATACTTCTATGACCCTGGATAAGTTTGGGACAAGAAAACAGTGATAAAACTATCATTAAATTAAAGCTTTTCCAAAACTGCAGCTTTTAAAATATGGCAAATTTCTTTTCTCTGTTTTTGCCAAATGCTTATAATTATTTGAATTTTAATGTTTTATATAATACAGAAAATACCAGTGTTCAATGACAATAACACTAAACCTGAATTATAAAGCTAAATAATCAATGTTTTATTGTTTACTAGTCTGGTAGTAAACATTACAATAAATGAATGTTTTTGAAAAATAAGCAAACAGATAAACAAAAAAAATAAAAAATAAAAATGGATAAAACCAGAAACATAATTCAGCAACAATAATTTAGTAAAATGTGTCAAAAACATGGGCAAAAGCTCATACAAATTCTTTATTTAATAACAATTTTCCTATTTAACCACACCAAGTACCAGCAGGTGTATTTAAGAAGATAACCATTAAGAAAATCCTGTTGCAGCAATAGTTGATTAGGTTGATCTCTGAATTGTATACATATAACTATTTGTTTCACAATTCTCAAATAATACATATTTAGGCAGCTTGCACTATGTTATAAAAAAATTTAAACTCGTTACATGCCAATAGTACAGAATTCAAGAATTATGTGTTAGAATTCACTAAACTAAAAGTGAAAATAGACTTACCAATAACACTGCATAATGAATAATTCAACCACATTTTCATGGCACTTAAACTGCAGAGACCAAAACGTAAAGTCCAGAAATGTTTGGTAGGCATAGATTGCAATAAAATCTAACAAATTCTAACAAATTCCTATTTTATGTAAAACTCAAATTATGGATTGTGCATGAATGTGTTTGTCATGAAAATGTGGTACTTCTTGGCATAATCTGTGTATTTGTATGGTAGGACAGAAGTGACTAAGAAATTGGAGAAAATAGACTTTAATGAGATTCTCCATTCAGTGATGAGGCTTCTCCTCTGGGTGAAGATGACCGAGACATTCCCCTCTCTGTGTTATCAGAGCTAGAGCCGCTCTGACTGTGTTGATCTGCAGAAGCAGCACTAGATGCAGGCGGTGACTTTGTTTTCTCCTTAAAGTCTGTAATAATGACTGTCAGATCTCCAACGGTAACTTCCAAATGCTGAGCACTACTCCGATCCACATTTTTCAATCTTGGCCTGAACACAAAAAATGATGAAATTTTAAACTAGCTTTTCCCTCTACCAAATTTCTGAGCACATAATAAATAATAGGTAAAAGTAACAAAATGAATACATTTATATTTAAAGTAATTGATGTGTGACCAGCCACAAAAATATCATTAAATGTTTTAAATCATTAATATTAATCAAACCAATCATTCGTGAACCTTCTTCAACATGACAAACAACTGTGACAGCCTGAAAGTAGTGGTCTCTTAATTGTGCTTGTATAGCTCTATCATAATTTTGCAGACAAATTCATTTTATTAAAATAGATGTTTTGGGACAACAATGAAATATTTGCACCACAGAGGAAGTTGACAAAAGCTAAGGTTGAGATATATGCAGAGCTAATACTCTACTAATATGCACTGATAATGAGGGTATTATGACTGTTCTGACTGGACCAATGACCATTCTGACTGGTTAAAGCCCAGCATTTTGACCACCACTCCTGGCTTTCAAATAGATAGTTCATATTTGTGGAAAAAAGAGAAAAGACGCAAATGTCTTTTAAACTAGTAAAAAGAAAAAAAGCATCCTCACATTCAAGCTTATATTTGTGAGGCCGACCCCGTGGCGCACTCGGGAGAGTGCGGCGCTGGGAGCGCAACAGCATTCCGCCACGGGTTCGGATCCTATATAGGGATGGCCGGTGCACTCACTGGCTGAGCACGGTGCGGCCGGTCACAAAAAAGACAAAAAAAAAAAAGCTTTTATTTGTGGATCTTTGAACCTGGAAAAAACTTTCATGATACTTTATAATAGAGGAGATGGAATCTTTTATTTCCACTTTGTGTGTATGCGTATATCAATGTTAAAAAAAAGTATTAAACGGTTAATTTTATTATTTCAAAAATGTCATAAAACACTCTTCAAATTTACCTGGTTTTCTTATGACTGTTCTTTTTGCTAGTTGTTTCCTTTTCACTTTTTTCTTTTTCTACTTTATCTTTTTTCTCTTTCTTTGACTGTGTAGGGGGCACAAACTGCTGAGTAACCTGCTGTGCAACCAACTGGGAGACAGGTCGAGGCTTCCTGTGTGCATGTTAAAAAGAAAGGTTTTTTTAAATTAAAATTTAAGAACATATGTTCTTTATGAGAGAATATCTTATGTTATAAGAATAGATATATAATATGATGATTTTTCAAGTATAAGACTTGTTCATATTTAAGGTAATTCAGATATACAATTTAAAAGATACACAGTCATGCGCCACATAATAATGTTTCAGTCAATGACAGACCGCATATCGGTGGTCCCTTAAAATTATAATGGCTGTACCATATATCCTAGCTGTGTAGTAGGCTATACCATCTAAGTTTGTGTAAGTGCACTCTACGATGTTTGCACAACAAAATCACCTAACAATGCATTTCTCAAAACATATCCCCATTAAGCAATGCATGACTATTAATGTCTTTCCTGTTCAACAAAAATAGAACTATAATAACTGTTAAAATGTATAATCCAAGATATATGGTCAAACCATTACAATATAATTGTTACATAAATCAACATGGGAAATCATTAAAAATGAATATCAAACTAAATGCTCATAGGGAGGCACACATATAAATAAACATGAATTTTAAAAATTAAACTTGAAAGTTTATACTAATATTTTAATTTATCCTTCCTCCTTCAGAGAAGGAAGTATCTAACCATCTGTGACAATGGCTATTAGCTCTTTCCTTTAAAATCTTTTTTTATCTATTCATTTAACAAATATTTATTGAGTGTCAAAATTTCCTTATATCTCAGCCAAAATCTCACTATGCTTTTTTGACCCTGGAGATCTGCCCGATCCTTTGAGATTTACCTACATACTTATTCATCTAAAAGATGTTTAGTGAGAACCTACTGTGGTAACTGCACAGGGATATCTGAAATGTTGCCTGGCTTCAATTTTGGTGCTAGAACAAACTGTCACCCTATTAGTCCAGGGTCAAGGACCTCTCAAGCTTTATAACAGAACTTGGGCAACTGAGGTCAAGATTCAAAGGAAATAGTCTCTAAGTTCTTAAGAGAGAAAGAAGGGTAAGGAGGGGGAAAGGAGGCCAGGAAAGCAGAAAGGGAAAGCAAGACAAAAATACATTTTAACAGATGGTCTACAAACAATGCTAATTCTATCGTCTGGAAAATCCCAACCCTATTTTGGTCAGCAGAGGTTTCTTTAAAAAAAAATCTTTTTGTTTTTGTTACTGTTGTTCCTTTACAGCAAGACAAAATAGAAAATAATAAGAAAATATTGCACAATCTATGATTCAAAGCTACAAGGCTGGGAGGAAATAGAAAATAGTACATAAAGCAGATTTCGGGAGATGGATAATGAATTTTATTTAGAGTCTACATAGTCTGAAGTACTGGAAGGATATCCAGGACAGATGTCCAATACACAGTTTTAAAAATAGGACTGATATATAAATCATGGTTAGAAATGCACATTAAGAGTTACACAAATAAAAGTGATACTGAAAGAATGGTAATTAATGGCTGAGCTTGTTAAGGAAATGAACTTAAAGAAAAAGATTAGGCAGTGGTTCTCAAATTCAAGGTACATCAGATCACCGGGAAGGCTTGTTTAGCTTGCTGAGCCCTACCCCAACCCCACCACCACCACCCCGAGTTTCTGATTCAGTAAGTCGTGGGGTGAAGCCTAAGAATTCATATTTTTAACTAGTTTCCAAGTTATGCTGATGTCTCTGGTCCAGGGACCACACTTTGAAAAGCTTCAAGAAGTGCAACATATTTGGTGAATATTGGTACTACTGCAGCATAAAGTTTAAAATGGAGGACAGGAAATGGAAGAAAAATGAAAATAAGCAAGGCTGGACAAATAGGAAGGAACCCAATAATAAAAAGCTAAGGAATCTGATTCACCCTTAAATGATGGGAGATCACTGAAGAAATTCAAACTTGAGTTTTACAAAGATTACTGGTTCAGTCTGAAGGGGAAAGCTACTACAGGCAGGGAAACTGTTAGAAAGCTACTTTAATAGACCAGGGGGAAAAAAATAAAATAAAATAAAATTTTTTAAATGTTTATGCTAAGGAAGCAGCAGTGGGATTAAGACAGGATGAAGCCCACAGATATGTACAACTATGTTTCAATAAAAAAATAAGCAAAAAGATTTAAGAAATAAAAATTTTAAAAGATAGAATGAAGAAGCAGAATCAAGGGGACCCGGTGACTCATTAGATGTACCTTCCTCACTTCTCAACCAAGAAATACTCCTTGAGCAAAACATACAAAAATCCTTGCCTTCATTTAGCTAATATTCTGTGGGTGGGTGCTAAGGTCTGAATGTTTATGTCCCCCCAGAATTCATATGTTGAAAACTAATCACCAAAGTGATGGTCTTAGAGGTGGTGCCTTCGGGAGCTGATTAGGTCATGAGGGAATGGGATTTTAGTGCCCTAAAAGAGGCCCCAGAGTACTGCCTTTCCCCTTCCACCATGTGAGGAAAAAGCAAAAAGATGCATATGTGAACCAGAAAGCAACCCCTCAGCAAACACTGAATCTGTCAACCCCTTGATCTCGAACTTCCCAGGCTTCAGAACTATGAGAAATAAATTTGTTGTTTACAAGCTACCCTAGTCTATGGTATTTTGTTATAGTAGCCCAAAAGCACTAAGACAGTGGGATCAAACGAAGACAAAAAATAACATGGAGTCTTAGATGTTTTGTTTTTGGGTTTTTTTGTCCTTTTTGAGACCGGCCGCACCGCGCTCAGCCAGTGAGCGCTGTGAGCGAACCGGCCATCCCCATATAGGATCCGAACCCACGGCGGGAGCGCTGCTGCACTCCCAGTGCTGCACTCCCAGTGCCGCACTCTCCCGGGTCAGGGAGTATTAGGAAGGGAGCTGCATTTTTTATTGTCTGTTTGTTCTTTCAGGCTAAAAGCACCACAAGGAAAGGGAGGTATCAGCTTTATGCACCACTGTATAACTAGTACATAGCACAGTACTGAAAAAGGACTAGGTACTCAATGATTATTTGCTGATGAATGAGTGAAAAAATCAAGGTTTAATGTGGAAGAAAAATATTTTTAAAGAAAAATGGTACTGCCTCTAAGCTTACTCATTTGACAGGATCAACCACTCACTACACAGGAATAAACAGCAGTGGAAAAAGCAAGAGCAACAAGAATTTAATTTCTCTTTTAATTATGTTGGAATATGGAAAGAGAAAGAAAGCCAAAAGTCCAAGGTTGAGAAAAGATTTGTTTAGGCTAGTAGCTAATGAACAGTGAGTCACTTAAAATTGAATCACTCTAAGATACATAAAATGCAACTGAGGAGTGGTCATAATTTTGTCTCACAAGGTATTATGGATCTCTCAGTCTCTTCCTTCCATAACATTAGGACTTTGTCAACTTCATTTACTGCACATTGTACTCTTACTCCCTCCACCTCAAAATTTAATGCAAATTGAATTTATAAAAATGTTACTGAATTACATTACATTACAATAAAACTGAAAGCATTAAAATAAATTTACATTTTTTTGAAACTAGAGAAATCCTGAAGTTTCTAGCAATCAATAAACTGTAGTTATTTAGTAGCTGTTATTACTAACAAGATGTATAAAATTTATTTATAGTCAGTTGATGTGGAGCACATTGACATTTATAAAGCAAATGTATTTCACAGGGCCTATTTTCCAAAGCCCTGTAGTCTCAGGTTTAGCCTAACCTTTTGGAATTACATATAGAAATGTTAACCTTGAAAAAGACAGGAAACTTTCCTCAGGCTAAAGTCCCTGTTGTGTATATAAAATTGAAACACAGCGAAGTTGCTGGCTCAAGGACAGATGTCCTTGGTTAACCTACTAATTGATATGTAAAAATACTGAGGAAACTGCTGCAGGAAAACACAGTATTTGCTAAGAACAAGCTTTTGTTGGTGGATCAACTTAACCTTTTGCAAATTGCATTACTGAATGTCACTTTGCTTGTTTCACTGATATTACCAGCCTCTATTGTTACCATAACCCCACCTACGCTCTTTTCCTGTAACTTCCTGGTCTGGGGAATAAATGTGGGGGAAAGAACCCCAGCTCATGGTTAACTTCCCAAGGAAGGAATGCCTCCCTCTTGAGGGTTCTGGGAGATTAACCCCTTTGGGGTCTCTCACTGCTCAGAAGAGACGGGCTTTGAGTAATCCTTTGCATCTCCATCACCCAGGGGAAGAGAGGTGATAAATTCGTGTGAGGCAAAGCAACGGTTTATTTAGTGCTGCCTTTAAGTAAAACTGAATATTTTTCTAGGGTTTTCTAGATTCATTAATGACCTCAGTACCTACCAGGAAGATTTTCAAGAATTTAATTATTAAGCTGTAGTTAAGTACAGAATATTTTTATAACATGACCAATCACTCCCCTATGAGGATTAGTCTCCAAGTTGGAACCCATCTTCTATGAAGCATTGTTCCTCAATATCTCACTCTCACTTTTACGTAGGAAGCGGAAATGTTAATTCCCCAATTCACAAATCTTACAATATAACTGCTACCAAGTGTTTTTCATATTTAAAAGATTTTATCACTCAAGAATCTCCCTAGAATAACTTTCCCTTTTTTTATGGCCCATCAATCTGAAAGTGAAAGTATATTAGTAGAGCGTGATTTGCTTCATAAAACCGTAAGGGTGAGTTAAATAAATAATTTTTAAGTAAGGTATGAATCTAGAATTCTTCTAAGCACTATACTCAATAGTAAGAATAAAATACTCAATAATCGTACACTCTCCTAGGAGGCAAAACTAACACAGAAAGAGCAATTAGTTGAACTGGTCAGAGGAGAGACTGAAAGAAGACAAGCTAGACAACTACCACATCAAACTAGAAATGAAGTAATAGTAACAAGGATCTCTACTATGGTGTAGTCAGGGGAATGAAATAGAAGCAGTGAATCGATGACATTTCAAAAGAATAATGCAGCCTGCTGTGTACCCTGAATATAGAAGGATAAAGAGCCCCCCAATAATAGGAGTAATATCGAAAGAAATGGGGGAACTTGGAAGAGCAGTTGCAGG